TGCCCTTAAAACACCATTGACACCTCACCTCAATCCCATCAATAATCTCATAATACCCACTCAATCAACCGCAGAGCAACAAGTCACAGAGAAAAAAGAAACATACCCTCGCTCGTCATGATAAAACTCAATAAAACATAAAGTCATGACATCGTCCACCTCATAAGTAAAAGAAAACAAAGAACGCAATTGAGACTTGACTGACAGTTCAGCCATTCAGCCAGCCATTCCACTATCATCAATCATACTTTCTTCACCAACCCATCACTTGTTCAATTCTACTCACTCGTCGACCCTCTCCAACGTCCCACTCCGATGTCTTCCCGACCCCTCTCTCTTCCGTCCAAGACTAACAGCAGCAGTAGCAGTAGTAGTAGTAGTAGTAGTAGTAGTAGTAGTATTCGATGAGATCAGCTCAAGCGGAAGCGGAGGCGGACGACGAGGTCTGGGAGGAGGACCACCAGTACGACCACCAGTACTACCCTGCGAAGGCGAGAACCCGGCAGGGGAACTAGTAGTAGAACCAAGTGAACCAGACGCAGTCGAAGCAGGAACAGGGTGTCTGAAAATCGGGTACGGGTTATCGAAGCCCTGCTGCTGCTGCTGCTGGGGAGTTGAGTTCAAGCTGCGAGACGGCACAGCAGGCAGCTTATTCTTGTAAACGTCTGGGAGAGGCCAGCCGTGCAGAGTAGGAGGAGGTGAGGAGGAGGTACTCTCAGGAGTAGAAGTGCCAGCACCGCCGATTGAAGAGTGGGATTTCGATAGCTTGAGCACGCCGGGACGTCGAGCAGGGGTGGGACTCGGAGTTGTCAGCATGGCCAGCTGGTGCTTTTCGAGACGGATGCGTTCGAGGTCGCGCTCAGCGAGGATTTTGCTTTGCTCGGGGGTGCGTAGGACTGGATGGATGGTGCTAGGGTCTAGGCTTGGATCGTGGCTGGGATTGGGGGTGGTAAGTTTGTCTTGTGCCTTGTTGTTGTCGTCGACAGTTTGGGCTTTGTTCTCCTGCGTGCGGCTGGCGTTATTATCACTGTCACGGTGACGACGTAGGTTGAAGAAGCTGCGTTTAGGTGCAGGTTTGTCCATCTTGGGCTGTGCAGCAGATGTGAGTAAGGCTTCGGCTTGTTCGATTGCTGGCACGAGCAGGTCTGGGCGATCGAGGAAAGTAGATGCTTTGGGAGTGGGGGATCCTGAAGTGTCCTCATAGTCATCTCTCCAGGCAACTCGCTTTTCAGTGATTTGGTGATGATGGTCTCTGACGCTCAGGTAAGCGGGGGACGAGCTATTCACAAGATTGGCACTGCGTAACACGCTCGACGGGGCTGCTTGTTTTCTTTCTTTATTTTCCTCTTGCTCGTTCTTCTTCTTCATCATCTCACCATACTTCCCCTCTTCTTTCCTTGGCAGCAACTTGTCCCTCCCATCATCCTGCGCGCTCAAGTCTCGGTTCACCATCAAAGGAATCGATGGGCCCTGCAGCCCAGCACTGGGGGTCAAGATGCCCTCAGATGCTGGGTTGCCAGGGCCAAGCTTACCCTCCTCTTGGAGGTCGTACCTGAGCTTGCCAATTTCCTCGTGGATGGCAGTGATGATTTTCGACTTGATGACGCGCACTTCGCGTCGCAGCGTGTCGATATGAGCCCTGACATCCGCAACGGCCGTCTGTGCCTCCTTCAGTAGCTCAGTCTGAGCAGCCGCTTTCTTGTTGATGGCCTGAGCTAGGTCAACCATCGTGTCCACATGGCGAAGAACTTGGTCCATGTGCCAGGCGTTTTTGTCCTCGAACGTCTTGACGAGTTTACTGGCCGCATGCTGCACGTGGAAATGGAGCTGCTCTACGTGCGAAGCAAGTTGCTCCTCCAGCGCTGCCGTGTTTTGATAACTTGGGTCTGGCGGCGTAGGGGCGAAGCCACCCCGACCAGTGGAACCCAGAACCTGCGCTCTATCGAGGAGGACCTGAGTGGTAACGTATTCGCTAGACGAGCCTTCAGGACCGGCGTGGAATGTCGACGCAGGAGACGCCAATGCCGACAGATGGGTGTCGGAACCTTTCTTGACGGACAAGTCACTGTCCCGGGTTGGCGTGAGCGAAATGACTTCCTCTATGCTGGTCACCCCGTGATTGCGACGTGGCAGATCGGACGTTCTATCAGACAAGATCGTCTCATACACCGAAGGGGAGTACGTGCGTGCAGCTTCGCTCTCGCGGACCGTGGATGCCGCACTCTTGGGAGACGCTGGCTCAGCTGCGTAACTGCATGCACGTTGAGGTGTACTGACGACCTCTGGCAGCCTGCTGCTTCTGAACTCTCCTGTACGGGCAGCTGGTGACGATCCGCTCAGGAGAACGGCATCGAGCAGGGTCGAAGTATTTCCCTCTTCCGCTTCGTTGCTGTGGATGAGCGAGTGTTTGAATCTAGCGCCTTCACCACCACCACCACCACCATCCTTCATGGGCGTACGCACAGAAGAATCCGACGCCTTATCGAAATCCTTCAAACAATAATCCAACCGTATCACACTTGACTTCCGTGATAGCGACGATGACCCCGAACCCACCTCCATCACCCTAGGTCTGGGAGTGAACAGCCTCTCGACTTCGAAATTGTTCCCCTTTGCAGCGAAAGAATCTAAAGAAGAAGAATCATCCCGGAGTATAGTGATTTTCGGCATCGTACTTGCCGGTGGGACCTCCTTGCGAAACTCCTTCTTTAGATCCTTGAAACTGAGCTTGGCCTTGAGAGCCTTGAAGGTTGATTTCTTTTCCGACTTTTTCTCACCAGTCGCTGATGTTGATGCTGCCGCCGCTGCCAAACGACCCGGTTCAGTGAACGAGCGTTTCTTAGCAATGCTTCTGCTCCAGAGACCTCCACTCCCGCTTCCACTGGTAGGCAAGCTAGGGGGAGTGTCGTTTACGATCGAGTTGGCTCGAGCAGTGCGAGGATTTGGCATTGGTAGAGCGAGGTCGGAGTCGAAATCCAATTTGCCTAGTTCTGGCGAGATTGTTTTAACTGTTTCTTTTTGTCAGCTTTCTTTCTTTATTCCTTTCGTTTCTTTGCAGTATGAGATGAAGAAAAGAAGAAGCACACATACCACTTCTCATCGAGGAAAGACTACCCTGTTCAGTATCACCGCTCAATCTCATCTGTTCTCTCTCCTTGGCCCGTCGCAGAGCCCACGCATTTCCCTCATTGACCGACATGATGAAGAAGCAGTATGCTAGCATGGTTAGCTGTGTCTCTCTACCTTCTCCTTTTCATTTCTTTTCTTTTCGTTTCCTTTTTCTTTCTTTCTTGACGGATTCAAGTTCCCCAGGATGAATCAGAACTCACCAGCTTAATCAAGTCTAATCAATAGATGGAACCGGGCTCTGTATCTAGCACAGTGTGAGCAGTCTGACTCCTCAATCCTAGCATGATCTCTGAATCACAAGAATAAGAAGAAGAAGATAATACTTTACCTTTCCCAACCAAACCAACTCAACTCAACTCAACTCAAAGATCAGGCTCCTTCCCCTCCTTATCCCTAATCTTCTGGTTCTCCCGTTCACGCAGACGCTGCCAGAGCTGAGCGGAACGAAAAAGGATCAAAAGGAACGTGGCACGGTAAATCACAGCAGGACGCATTGACGACTAAGCTGTGAGCAAAAGGGAAATCAATCGTGAATGATGCGATGTGCGTGCGTACGTATCGACGACTAAGCAAAGCAAAGCAAAGCAAAGCACAGCGTAATGTTAGTAGTGGTAGTAAGTTCTATCCGTATCTGGGTTCGTGATGATGGCGTATCGTGAAGATGAAAATCGAAACGAGACGCGACAAAACGCAACACAACACGAAGATGGATGGATGATACAAGATGAGGAAACGAGGAGTGAGTCGGTAAACAACATTTTCTACTGTTTCGTCTGTATGCATGTTTGCATGCTATGTGGGCGCTGGTGTTACTTGTTTCTACTGCTGTGGGTTTGGGGGGATATGTGTGGTTGATAGGGGCAGTGAATGAGCGCTGGACCAGGGTGCTTTTGTATGAGTGTGAGGATCATCTACTTGATATCGCTGATGAGCTTAGGGGAGGGTGGCTGGGAAGGATAAGAAGGTGGTGAATTTGTGTGAATCTTTGTTTCTGCTATGTGCTCTGTAGGGTTATAGGTTTTGGGTGGTGTGAGGGGTGAGGTGTGAGATGTGCTGGAGGAATGGGCTAAGGGAGATGGACGTGTCTGTCTATATAGGAGCTTATATTAGAGACTGGGCTTGTAGTTGAGTACTCAGAGGTCGCGAGAATCATATTTTGTATCTGGATGATGTCTATAGATCATAGGGTTCGGGGAAGGAGAAAGTACAACGTCTGCTTGATCTTTATTTCCTTCATGTGTAGGTGGTCTAATCTTGCGCTTGATGTGAGAGTGGTGTTTTAAGGTAGAACGAGGTTCTTCCTCCAGGGTCTACTGTTTTCCAACGTAAATTAGGGCGCTGGGGGGATATTTCAAAGCAGTGGTCATCCAAAATCCCTATGATGGAGTAGCTCTCAGCATACAGACACTAGAGCAACAACCACCCTTACAGGCTAAGTTGAAAACCTAATGAAGGCCAGGTCCTACTATATGTCTACTAGCTAAGAAGATTGCTCAAGTAATTTCTAAATCATATCATTATATCATATCATCATGCACATCATTACATACTGGCAGAAAACTGCAACAGAACTACTACCAATCTGACAAAAGGAATGAACGATTAAAAATGCGGAATCAATAATTCAGACAATTTGAGAGGAGAGCGAAACAGCTCGACAGCAGAATACCAAATACAGGGGAATCGATGGATAAACTGGTGGGCGCGCAAACTCGGCAACTTCGAACAATCATCGGGTATATGCATGCCAAACAAATGCTAGCAATGGTGCAGCAAAAACGCTCATCAAGAACAGATTCCTGAACCATATTAGCTTTGGCAACCACAATCATGAACAATAAACGTCTCGGTCTTCAACACCCGACACGAATCTACTGGTTGTTTCTTCCACGGCGACGGAACGGCGAGAAAATAGCCCCAAAGAAATTGGTGAACACAGCCCGAAGGATGGTCTTAAACCAGCTGTCATGTTTACGGTTCAGAGAAACAGCTGTGACTGACCGGTTTTGACTTTGGGCACGATCTTCCTCGTCGCCCTTGGTGGCAACTGCCTTGTCGGCGGCATTCTCGGCCGGCACGGCGGGCTCGGTGGCGGGCTGGGGCTCGGAAGCCTTCTTGGTCTGGTCTTCGGCATCGTCTTCGACATGAGGCTGTTGGGTGGATGCAGAAGGTTGCTCGGTAGAAGGTGCCTCGGTAACTGCTGTGACAGGGTCAACTCCATATTCGGTAATTTCCAGCTGATTCGCTGCAGGACTTGAGAGGTGCTTACGCTCGGTAGGCTTGTTTTCGGCGACGACTGCCTTATCTGTGCTCTCAGGCTGGACGGGAACTTGCTTGGACTCAACGTGCTCAGGAACAGCTTCGTGTTCCTTGTGAGTGGCCGCATACACTCCGGCGGTAATGGCAGCACCGGCAGCAACAGTAGCAACACCTGCGCCAAGAACCTCAGGGCTAAAGATGCTATCCTTGGCAGACTCCTCGAGAGCGGCCTCCTTGGCCGTCTCAGGAATAGGCTCTTCGTGTGCTGTCACAATGTTGGCCTCGACAGGAGCCTCCACCTCGGTAGGCACAGGCACTTCCTTGGCTTGAGGCTCAGCCGGGGCCGGCTCACTGACGGTTTCAACCTGGACAGGTTCCTCCTTCTCGACACTAACAGCCTCAGCAACTTCGGCCTTCGGGGCTTCCTCGGTAGCAACAGGCTCGACGACAGTCTCAACTGCAGCCGGCTCATCCTTGGGCGCATGCACCGGCTCGGTAACCTGTTCCTCAACCTGTGCGACAGCTTCCTCCGCAGCCTTCTGCTCCTGTGCCTCTTCGGCCTTGGCCGTTTCTTCGTGGGTCTCAGGGACAGGCTCTGCGGCAGCAACCTCCTTCTCAACCGGAGCCTCAGTAGCTTCAACGGTTGCGGCCTCAACAACCGGTTCGGTAGCAACGGGCTCCTGAACAGCTGGCTCGGCAACCTTGTCGACAACCTCCGCCGCCGCGACTGCTGCAACTGCCGCAACAGCAGCCTCAGCAACGGCCTCCTTCTCAGAGTGCTCGGTGACCGACTCAGCTGCCGCTTGTTCTTGGGCAACTTCCGCAACCGGCTCCTCAGCAGTCTCCTTTTCGGCCTCATGAGTAACAGGCGCCTCGACAGCAGGTTCCTCGATGGCAACCTCCTCGACAGCTTCCTTGGCGACGGGTTCTTCGGTAACAGGTTCCGTGGCGGCAGCCTCCTCAACGACAACCTCCTTCACAGCAGGCTCCTCAACAGCAGGTTCCTCGACAGCCTCCTTAACAGGTTCCTCGACCGCACGCTCTTCGACGACAGGCTCAGTGGCAGCAGGCTCTTCAGCGACGACCTCCTTGGCAAGTTCCTCGACAGCAGGCTCCTCAACAACAGCCTCCTTAACAGGTTCCTCAACAGCAGGTTCCTCAACAGCAGGCTCTTCGACAACAGGTTCCTCGACAACAGGTTCCTCGACAACAGGTTCCTCGACAACAGGTTCCTCGACAACAGGTTCCTCGACA